TCTTCTTGGCTTTAACTCACCAGGTCACCCATTTGAACTGTTCTTCTTGGCTTTAACTCACCAGGTCACCCAGTTGAACTGTTCTTCTTGGGTTTAACTCACCAGGTCACCCATTTGAACTGTTCTTCTTGGCTTTAATTCACCAGGTCACTCAGTTGAACTGTTCTTCTTGGCTTTAACTCACCATGTCTCCCAGTTGAACTGTTCTTCTTGGCTTTAACTCACCAGGTCACCCATTTGAACTGTTCTTCTTGGCTTTAATTCACCAGGTCACTCAGTTGAACTGTTCTTCTTGGGTTTAACTCACCAGGTCACCAGTTGAAACTGTTCTTCTTGGCTTTAACTCGCCATGTCTCCCAGTTGAACTGTTCTTCTTGGCTTTAACTCACCATGTCTCCCAGTTGAACTGTTCTTCTTGGCTTTAACTCACCAGGTCACCCATTTGAACTGTTCTTCTTGGCTTTAACTCACCAGGTCACCCAGTTGAACTGTTCTTCTTGGGTTTAACTCACCAGGTCACCCAGTGGAACTGTTCGACTTGGCTTAAATAAAAAGCTCAAGTTCAGAGCTACCATTCAGTCCAAAGGAATCAGGTTGCAAGAATGACTTATCTTATTGCCATCCGTGCAGCCCAGCCAAGCTCGACACTGTTCGAAATATGAGATCAACATGCTGACATGACCTGTAGGCATTTACATGTATAGGCACATTGATAGTCACTTGAAATTGCTTCACTCGCATTCTTCATTTCTTTTCAAAATAAAAAGCTGTGAATGTATGTGCAGTTGGTCACAGGCACGAGTATCGGACCTGGGAAGAAAAAATATGACCAGATTGATAAAAAAAAACCTATGTTCATCTTATAAGTGTCAAAAAACCAAAAAAAAAATGTAAATAATGACCACCTTTAAAAATATACTATAAGTTAAGAGAAGGCCGGAAACTCCAGATTCGAGCCTACGAGCAAGGGATTCATTTCCCGGGCCGTTGTGAAAACAATTGGCCAGACAATTAAAAAAAACTTTTATCACTATTTCAGGTTTATATTAAGCTTCAAAATGAGACCAACCCCAAGTCTCTAGCCCTTCCCGTTCATGAAATATCTATCAGGAAACGAGCGAATTCGTGCTAAAAATCCTTGGTAGACAGAATTGCGGCACAACAATTCGGTACGTAAACATAGACTAATACATGTATGTCAGCTGAGTACGGGTCAAAATCACTTGAATTTACTCAATAATATTACTAAATACATTAAGTTGGACCACTCACAAGCGTCATAAGCATCTGATACACGCACGATTCGAATTTCAAACCTTTGCACGGTCTTTAGATTCCTTTCTACGCCATTGTCAATCAGCTGTTCGATATTTTGTAACGAGTCTTCTGATTGGCCAATAGCAACGAAAACCGCAACGTTTCACACAAGGATGCCTAATGGCGTAGAAAGCGATTGAAAGACCGTGTAAATGTTTGAAACTCGAATCTCGTGTGTATCAGATGCTACTGACGGTTGTGAGTGGTCCAACTTAATGTATTTAGTAATATTATTTAGTAAATTCAAGTGATTTTGACCCATACTCAGCTGACATACATGTATTAGTCTATGTTTACGTACCGAATTGTTGTGCCGCAATTCTGTCTACCAAGGATTTTTAGCACGAATTCGCTCGTTTCCTGATAGATATTTCATGAACGGGAAGGGCTAGAGACTTGGGGTTGGTCTCATTTTGAAGCTTAATATAAACGTGAAATAGTGATAAAAGTTTTTTTTAATTGTCTGGCCAATTGTTTTCACAACGGCCCGGGAAATGAATCCCTTGCTCGTAGGCTCGAATCTGGAGTTTCCGGCCTTCTCTTAACTTATAGTATATTTTTTAAAGGTGGTCATTATTTACATTTTTTTTTGGTTTTTTTGACACTTTTAAGATGAACACAGGTTTTTTTATCAATCTGGTCATATTTTTTCTTCCCAGGTCCGATACTCGTGCCTGTGCAGTTGGTAGTAAAAGTTTGGGCATACCCCTTTATAAAGATGTTATGTTGTGTTGCACAGTGATGTGATATGACACAAAATGCTTACAGTCCTAGATATTAACGGCTGGTTGGTACTATAGTAATGTCTGGTTGTATAACTATATGGAAGGATCATTATTATCGTGGAAATTGTTACTCTGCCAACATGGCTTATCTGTCAATATCTGAACCTCCGTCTGCCATGTCTTAACAAAGGATATTCGCCAGGAAAACATATAAATTTATGATTAACTTACTACTAATCTATAGGGTCTTTCACCTTTTTTTGTTTATTTGTATTTTATTATTTGCTACATTTTATATGTCTGGCATGTTAGTCTAATTTCTATGAGTTTCTTTTCTTATCACTGAAAAATAATTCAAGCAATTGTATACACGCAAAGAAAGTTTACACACACTTTATGATTTACAGTTTACTTAAAAAACTTATCTATAATATTATGGGATTTTGTTTTAAACCCATCCCCCATCTGTTTTACCATTGTTTAAATTTTTTCCCCTCCGGGTTGGGGGCAAAACTTAAATCATTTCCCCAGCCCACTTGGGGGTTTGAACCCCATCGGAACTTAAAACAGTGTTCTTTCTGTACAAAAGGATTATTTTAAAGCTTTAGAGGTTGGTGGTCTAAAACTCGGGTTGGGTTTGGTTTTCTGATTATAATGAAAGGGGGACATAAGGTACCCTCCCCCAAAAAGTGGAATGTCCCCCTTTATGCTTCCACAGTGTCAGTTGGAATTAAAATAAAACCGCGTCATAAACAAAACCCAAAACTAGGGGGTTTCCGACCGCATGGTCCAGCCACCGGCATCCGCCAGTCTGATCGGGACCATGCTTTTTGTATCAGTTTCTTTACCTGAAATGGGGTTTTGGTAAGAGAAACAGCGGGGACCTGATCAAACTACACAGATCGCGGGGTGGTCTGCACTATGTGGGTTTTGTCATACGCGATAAAATTTTAAATATCCCAAGGATCCAACACATGTGGGGGTTTTTACAAGGTTATGAAAAACTAGTTAGTATTTCAAAAAGTCATAAATTTACCATTTTAAATTTTTTATTGTTTTACATGTGTAAATCCATTTATGAGACTGAATCCTTTAAAAAAAACTATTGATTTGAATGGTTTTAAAATCTTTTTCAGTATAATCCCCTCAATTCATTGGAAAATCATTACTCTTTTTTAACGGCATCTATGATAGAACACTTTGTTCCATTGTGCCGCAGAAATATTGCACTTCCTGTTGGTGGGTGTAAAATACAGGAAAAAATGTGACCTCGATAAAATATAGATCTATATTAATTATGAATTTGTTTTATTGATTATAAATATGTTATTATATATAAGTACACTTCACTTGAGTTTAAATGTAGAACAATTAGGATTGTTGGCATATTACTTTATTACTTGTTCTCAAAAACCCCTGGGTCTTTATCGTCAAAAAAACATTATTAAAAAATAGATCTATATGTGTATTCCTTGTGTGACCCTTTTCTAAGGTTGTTAAAAAAATCCATTTCATGCATAATTGGATGCCTAATACTAAGAAATTACTAAAGCTCTTCTTGCTATTTTCTCATTTCAGTATATTGGTTCATTTTCTCATTTCAGAATATTGGATCTTTTTTAATTTAAGTACATTGGATCATTTTCTCATTTCAGTTCATTGATTCATTTTCTCATTTCAGTACATTGGGTCAATTTCTAATTTCAGGATATTGGATCATTTTCTCATTACAGTATATTGGATCATTTTCTCATTTCAGTACATTGGATCATTTTCTTGTTTCAGTATATTGGATCATTTTCTCATTACAGTATATTGGATCATTTTCTCATTTCATTATATTGGATCATTTTCTCATTACAGTATATTGGATCATTTTCTCATTTCATTATATTGGTTCATTTTTCTCATTACAGTATATTGGATCATTTTCTTGTTTCAGTATATTGGATCATTTTCTTATTTCAGTATATTGGATCATTTTCTCATTTTAGTATATTAGATCATTTTCTTTTTTCAGTATATTGGATCATTTTCTCTTTTCAGTATATTGGACCATTTTCTTATTTCAGTATATTGGATCATTTTCTCATTTTAGTATATTGGATCATTTTCTTATTTCAGTATATTGAATCATTTTCTCTTTTCAGTATATTGGACCATTCTCTTATTTCAGAATATTGGATCATTTTCTCTTTTAGTATATTGGATCATTTTCTTATGTCAGTATATTGAATCATTTTCTTATTTCAGTATTTTGGATCATTTTCTCTTTTCAGTATATTGGACCATTTTCTCATTTCAGTATATTGGTTCATTTTTCTCAGTATGTTGGATCATTTTCTTGTTTCAGTATATTGGATCATTTTCTTATTTCAGTATATTGGATCATTTTTCTTATTTCAGTATATTGGATCATTTTCTTATTTCAGTATATTGGACCATTTTCTTATTTCAGTATATTGGATCATTTTCTCTTTTAGTATATTGGATCATTTTCTTATTTCAGTATATTGGATCATTTTCTTATTTCAGTATTTTGGATCATTTCCTCTTTTCAGTATATTGGACCATTTTCTCATTTCAGTATATTAGTTCATTTTTCTCAGTATGTTGGATCATTTTCTTGTTTCAGTATATTTCTGTATATTGGATCATTTTCTTATTTTAGTATTTTGGATCATTTTCTGTTTTCAGTATATTGGATCATTTTCTAATTTCAGTATATTGGATCATTTTCTCATTTCTGTATATTGGATCATTTTTCTCATTTCAGTATATTGGATCATTTTCTCATTTCAGTATATTGGATCATTTTCTCATTTCAGTATATTGGATCATTTTCTCATTTCAGTATATTGGATCATTTTCTCATTTCAGTATATTTGATCATTTTCTCATTTCAGTATATTGGATCATTTTCTCATTTCAGTATATTGGATCATTTTCTTGTTTCAGTATATTGGATCATTTTCTGTGAGTGGTGAGGACCAGACAACAAGAACAGAATTTGTACAGAGGCAGCTAGAAAGCATGCATGTAAGTATGATTTATACAGTCCATATGAAATCATATGCATTACATGTATATAAATAGACAATGCAATATGTAAATTATTCAAATCCATGCAAATGTTTTTTGGATACATCATTCATTGATATGTCATCTAAATGTAGAAACACAATTCTGCCAAGTGGGTGACACGTCAGACATAAACTTTAAGAATCCCTAGACATGTGGGTTCAAACTCCATTAGTGGCAAGGCATTGTTTCCTTGAGGAAGAAACTTTACTGTCATTGCACAGTACTGGTTTGTTCCTAGTGTGTTTATAAGCTTTTAGCTTCCTACACAATCCAACTAAAATAAAGTCTGTATCAACAAAAAACAATTGTACAATTTTATAATTATGTACATGAAATTGTAAAAGTATTATCTGAAAAAAGTTATAAAAAAAATTGTATAAAAAATCCTTGCTTTATTTTAAGGAACATTATATTTTTAGATCCATGTTTTATGCCATTATGATGGGTATGTGATATTTATTGAACACGTTCAATGACTTTTTGTTATAACATACATGGATCATTATTTGCAGAGGCATAAATTCACAGTCTAAAAATATATCACAAAAAATTCATTGTTTTTTAAATCAATGTAAAAGTACATTTCAATCATTCCATTCATAACACATAATTCAATTACTGGCACATGCATATAGAAATTACTTTATTTTTCAACTGTCAAGGAAAATTGGAGTTTCTTTATGAGTGTCAGTTGTCGGCTGAAATGACTGATTTAAGTAGTAATTGCATTTGCAGGCCTTGTAAATTGTCAGAGAATTGAGGCGTAGGTGAAGCGTAAAAAATACGCAGGCTATTTTCAGTGGAAATGCGTCACTATGATTTTCATCTCTGTTCAAACTGATTCTATTTAAGATATGCTGTGTGTGATCAATGCTAGTAACCTTTTCTATTTACCGCAGACTTTTTCAGAACTTTTGAAGAAATAGTATATAGTAGTAATGGAATATTTATATACCAGAGTGACGTCTGAGATATTAGTCAGACTGGCCTGAATAATGAATATAAGATCTTTTGATCGGTCTGTATATACTGTTGGTGGATATACTAAAGTTTAGTATTTAAAAAAAAATGTAACTTTGTGGCTTAGAGAACATTAATGTTGTCTGTTGCTGATTTTTTAACCTGTATAAAATAGAGTAAAAAGGACTCCCTATATAATATTTAAGAAAGTACAAAACGTCAAAATTGAAAATGTTGCCGGCTCGGTTTGTCATTAAGCCAGTTCATGAACGGTACTGTCAAGTGCAAACTACGTCCATGCCTCCATAGCACCAGCTTAAGCAGAATTCAACATTTAAACATGAAAATGGCGAAATTTTGAATTAATGTATTAGATCTCGAAACATCAAATTTTAAATTAATGTATTAGAAACATCGGCAGATGACATTGTGTTCATACGGCAGTAACATCATTGAACCTCAAATGTGACAAGTTCGTGCCATTCCATGAAAAACGGTATATGGTCCCCAAGTAAAAGAAACTCTACTCAATTTGGGTGATGGATCTGCCCAGCTTTGAATTTGGACCAGTCTAATAATAATTCTAAGTTCACTAGTGATTGCTATGTTGAAATAATAAAACTGGCTTCCAACAGTATCAAGCTTTAAGTCAAATCAATAGGTGTGTAGAGTGGTAAAGTTCTAAATTAAGGGTTTAAAGGGAAAATGATTATCAAAATAAAAAATGTTCAGAGGATGTCTGTGGCTGAGTGGTTTGGGTCATTCACTTGTAACTAATGGCCCCTTATTGCTGTGGGTTAAAATCCTGCAGTTATTTCAAGTGAGGAAGCTGTTCAGCAATTAAGCTTACGGAAAATTGTGGTGCAACTCTTGCCTGAAATAATGCCTATAAGGTCTTCCTTCACCTCCCAAGCTGGAAAAGCACCAAGTACAAGCATGTGCAAGTCAGTGTGATTTACACAAAACAAATAAAAACAAGAACAAATGAAATGAAAAAAGTGAAAACAAAACAACAAAAGATTGAGCATCTAACTGTAAGACGTCTTATCAAGCTATGCATATATAGAACTGCAGACTCAGCTATTTGATGGTAACTTGCAGTTGAGTGAAGTCATTAAGAGATTGTTGTTGAAATACTCAAGTTCAAATTCAGGGCAGGATCGACCTATCACATCACAAAGCACACATTTTTGGAAGAGCTATTAAATTTCTGTTCAGACAATTAAGTTAAAATGTTTATGAAATTATTTAAACATTGACTACCTGCTGTTACCAGGAAGTAGAAACACTGTATGTGTTCCTGCATGTTTTATGTCCTAATAATTGGTACTGCAGTTTTCTGTACAGGAAATATGACATGAAGAAATCAATGTAAAAACATTGGCTCTCGTAAACGCGCGAAGTTGCTCCTTGATCTACTTTTCTGATTGACTATCTGTCAAATAAATGATCATAGCTCATCCCCCCAGACTCTGTATATTACCATATACATGCAACTCTTGTAACATCATTCATTGACCCGACATGATAAAATGAGTGTTCTAGAAATAGGACATGATGGCATGTTGATACATTATTAAGCCACTACAGTTTTGTAAAAATTCATATGGCAACTCTTTGTTCAGCTGAAGCAACTTAAACCAAGAGTCAGGCGCTGGAAGTCTGTCCATTGTTGCCAAGTGTGATTGGGCACTTAAGTAAAGCCACAAACCTTCTGTAAGCTAGTTGGATCATGTAGGTCACACGAAACAATTTAATGTCCCTTGCAGGATTTGAACCCTCAGCAGTTAGGGGCAGGTGAGTTGCATTCAGCCACCATTACCACACAGCAGTGGAGGACGGATAAGGATTTATTGAGTCAAATAATAGCATTCAAGAGCCATCTTTATATACATGTTATGTCCTATAGCTATCCATTTAGCAGAAATAGAAGCAAGTTGGCTCTAGGGTTTGAGGGTTTGCCAATTTGAATCTGACGTGTGGCAATCTTACTGTTTCCTTGGTTACAGTTTGATTAAAGGCCTTGTTTCCAAAGTGGTATCTCCGGCTATTACTGTCTCATTTACAGAATATGATGTGCAACATTGACTAACATATATGCCTTTGTTTTGAAAGGGAGAGTTTATTTATTCTTGTGTATTCATGAATGATTATATATGAACAGAGATATATATGCTCTGAAATAACCATGAACTTTTGATAGTCTTCTAATAAAGTAGTAATAAACTATTGTGTTTTTTCTGCTGCCTTAAGGCATTTTTGCAGACAAACTGAAAAATACAGTCTGGAATCTGTATATAAATTTATGATAACATGATCTGAAGAATGGTTTACCCACCAATATAAATTCAACTCTAGAAATAATAGCCACGTGGAACTGAAACTTGCATAAGCAGTTTTTATAATGCAAGATCTGTTTCTTAGACAAATATTTCTCTTGCATTAGTGTTAATTTACAAACATTTCTTGTACAAAGATTAAGGAGAACATGCTTTCTAAATATGGCAAGTCTCTTGCATGTCTCTCCAAAACTGGATCATAAAAAATAAAATAAGAAAGTTCATGCATATTGTAAAACATGGGCTGGCAGTATATAAGATGTAACTGCCACTTATGTAATTGAATTGTTATATTGAATGGTTTGTCCACTCAGTTTAATACCAAAACAGCTTAAAAGTCAAACTACCTTATGAAGGTGCAAAAGGCCAAAGGTGTACATCAAGGAGCCCTTATAAGTCTGTGTAGAAATTGTTAATGACTGGTTTACTTAAACACTGGAAAACTCAGGTTAGTGATTCAACTGCCAAAATATGAGCAAATAATGTGTTAAAATTGGCGTAAAAAAACCCCCCAAGAAATACGAACTCATAAGTTTCAGATTGAGGATCTTGTATGGAAATTGGGGAGGGGGGGAGGGGGGTGTTCTAGAGTTTCTACCAATATTGTTGTATAATAGATCTGTTGTGTAGATGTATTGTATTGCAGCCTTATGACAATTTTACTTAAGTTTGTAAGCTTTTAAATTTCCAAACATCCGGGTCCAGGCCATGCTTTAGAACATGCCAACAAAATGTATATAAGGGGGGGGGAGAAAGAATCAATTTTAGGAGATAACAAGAATCTGCATCTTAGAGGCTGGAATGAGAAACCATAAAAGAGTATAATTGATGTCAAATTTATCTTCATTTATTTTACACAAGATTTCACTGTAGGATGAAAGCAAGTCCCATGTTTTGAGTGTCGGAAAGTAATTAAGTAAAAAGTTTATTTTTGTACTGTTCTGTATTGGGACATAAACTAATCTGGATAAAATTTTCCAGAGAAGAACGGAAGCTTTTGAATTTATAGGTTTCCAAAATTCATTTTAATTTGTTTTCGTTGTTTTAACAATGATTGATTTGGGGTTTATAATCAGTTATACAGCGATAAAATGCATGTTTATGAATTTTATCTTTGAACTGAAGGTGACTAAACTCTTTGAGACCTATTTTATGTATCCCTGTTATAAAGTTAGTTAATGGTCTATCAGCCATACAGATGGCAACAAACATCAACCCATACCACCAGTGCAAACAAGTGAATGATGATAATAGTAGTTTTTCATTTTTAAATTTTTCAAATATCCCAATATTACACATATTTTTTCCCCAATTTAAGCCCCTTTCCCAAAAATGGTTGGAAAATTTACTGATTTATGTTGAGATATGTTTATTTATATACTTACATGTTCAACATTGACCAGTTAGGTACGATGGTTGGTTTCATGATTGGGTTTTTAAGACACACTGACAATGTTTAGGTTATACAGCGTCTATTCAGCTGATGAAGAAAGGACCACAGATGCAGCTGCGTGCACAAGGAATAGTTGGTTTGATGGTTGAGTTTTAAGTCACATGTGCACTGTAGTATAGGTCATACAGGTACTATCCAGCTTAACTGATGAAGAATGGACCTCAGGTGCCTCTCTGTGCATTTGTTATTTCTGTTGCGAGCCTGCACTGAGTAGAACCACCAACATAGTTTTCTTACATAATATGAAGCATTTAGGATATAACTATGTGATCAAAGACTTGTATAGAAACAAAACGTTAATGGAAGTTTAGGGATAAACACTGTCGTAATGCTTTGTATATATATTTTTTCATACATTCGCATGTTAGACGTAAAACTTGTAAGAAAATACTAATTTATTTATGTTAATATCTTTAATGTTGTATATGATTTACAGACTGTAGAGAAAAGCAAGAAGGTATTACTGGTACTGTCTCTAACAGGAGTTAAAGTTTGCAGCAGTAATGGCGAGGTAAGGTTTTTTATAGTCATCATTCTGGAAATATTGCATCGATTTTATAACATTATAGAACACAACAGGATCGGCAAATATTTGTAAATTCAGCATTTGTTTTAATTTTAGAACAGTACTATTGTACTATTCTTTATAAATGACACATCTGTATAATAAATGTGACAATATTATGGGAGGGGATTTAGACTTGCGTCATTTTCATGTTTAAGCCAGACTGTATTTTCTTAGAAAACAGCCAGACTGTATTTTCTTAGAAATGTGTCTGAAAGAAATATAAAAATTTCTTTTGACAATTTTCTTCTTTAAATAATTTATGTAACTTGAAAATGCTACAAATAAAGAAGTACTATGGAAGAAGAATAGTCAAAACAATGAATGTCTGTTGATTAGTTGATACATGCAGTAGTCAGTACTGTGATCAAGTTTTGAAATTATTTAAATTTTCTTCCATTATACTTGTGCAACTTTCCATTTTTTATGCAATTTGTTCTATTGACTTTTCAATGCCCTGATTTTGTTTAAATTTTTCACTGTCGTAATTTGGTTAGTTAAAGTTATCACTATTGTTTCAATTTGACGTCATCGTTCATTTGTTAATTTCACTTAATTGCAGATTTTTGTTGTTCGAACTTTCCATCATTGTTCTTTTGTTGTTTTACTTTTCACCTTCCGTTTTCATTGCTACTTGATATGAATTAACATTAATATCCGTACTGTTAGAATGTTCATTCAATATCTAAAGCGGTCTTCAGCTGTTTTGAAGGTTAAATATGTTATTTTTAGAAAAATGTCGAATCAAAAGAATTAAGGTGGAAAATGAAATTTGCCGTCAATAAGGTACATAACCAATAAGGAAACCCCTCTCTATTATGTAAATTAGTAAAGTGGACAATTCGCTCCCTCATCTTCTATTTTTAGAAACGAACTTCACTGGCACCCGCTGTTTTGAAGAATGTTTAACAGTGATATGATGCAATTGTTCAAGATAAAATTACTGAAATACTAAGTTTGAAACAATACAGAATTGTTTTTCCATCAAAACTTAAAAGCTGAAGGCCGCTTCAAAATGTTAATATTCAATTTGATATTTTACAGTCGGTATATATGGCTCACGCCCTCAAGAGAATTTCCTACGCAGCATGTGATCCGGAACATCGTCAGTTTGCCTTCCTTGCGAGAGAACCGAAAGGTCATATAAACATACAGTTCTGCCACGCTTTCATCACTAAAACTCCGGAAGAGGTCAGTAAAAATAGAAGAAAAAATGTCCTAACACTACACACGTTTTAGTTGAGAACACTACACGTGTTTTAGTTTAAAACAGTACACGTGTTTTGGTTTAGAACACTACACGTGTTTTAGTTTAAAACAGTACACGTGTTTTGGTTTAGAACACTACACGTGTTTTAGTTTAAAACAGTACACGTGTTTTGGTTGAGAACACTACATGTGATTTAGTTGAGTATGCTGTAGAGTATATTATAGTATAATTGTACCAGAAGACATTATATATATGGGACTCATATTGTATTTACTCACGCTTTAGTTATCAACAAAATATTTTCTTTTCATTTGGTTGGGTTTCAATTCATAATTTTAACCCTTAACCTGCTGAAGATATTTACCCTGCTTGGAATATGGAATAGTCCAGTCAAATTAAAGTTTAATGGTTTCTTTTTGAGGATTGTTCAAAATGTAACACGTCAACTACAAAATCTACAAATTCTGTTACATTGGCTGAACGTTTCTGGTCAATGTACTGGGTTTCGTTTCAAAACTCCTTCAAAATAATTTGCTCTTACTGTGCAAGGGAGATAATCACCATGTAGCCAGTACTATTTTTGTTACAAGAAAAGAAGAAGTTGTCTCCCTTACACAAAAAACGTACAATAGTTTGATAGACATACCAAATTATGAAAAATGTCATAGATTAAAAGCATAGTCATTTCCTTTTTCTTTTTCAACTCTTATACATGATATACATGTATATGTGTTCAGTATATTCATCTTAAATGTCAACTCCACTGAGGTCTAAAAGCCTAAAATAACGTACAATTTGAATTTGAACACAGATCAATTGGGGCACTTAAACAAACAGGTATGCAAAAGATAATTAAGAAATATACTCAGAAGTAACAGAAATAATTTGAAAATCGTATTTTTGTGTTGTGTTTTAAAGTTCACTTTGAGTGAAATTTAGTGAGAGACCAATATTTATGTGCAAAAGGTTAGTCCAGTATTTATACAGAAAACACAAGTACTATTCAATAGAATCTAATATTAAATTTTGTGCTCAGGAAACAAATTTTTTTTAAAGGAATATATATATATATATATATATATAAGCCCACTATCAGATTGCCAGACAGCTATTGCATATCCGGAGCCCCGTACAAAAAAACAGCCTTGAACTTGAACCAGATAGTTTTAACATCAGCAGTCATTTCTATTTATAGAACATGAATTTATCAAAATTTGCCGTTACAGGTTATCGCATATTAATCTCCAACGGTCATAAAAGTTGTTTGTAGGCTTTTATAGTCGTGCCATTCAAATAGTTCCAAATGACTCGCTGGCTCCTAAATTCATTGTAGCTTGTTAAAATGATCAATCGTAAATATTGATATTTACTATTTATCTGCAACTTTTTGACATGCGTGTCAACCTATAGTTGATAACCCTGGTGTTATATCTGTAACACATGTCCTTAAGGAATGTAAAATATTCATGTATTATCAGTAGCCATATATACTTGTTTTAACGTATTCTATAAAAATATGAGACGTTTTGTCGATGTTTGTATTAATATAATATAAGTGGATGATTTTTTACTTGCGTTAAGTTGTGTAGAAAATTGATGTTATAAAAATTTTATTGTAAAGTTAACTGGAATCGATGTATAGTAACATTTAAAAGGTGGGTGATAATAATGTTTGTATATAATTATTATATTTATATGTAATTATGTATGTAATATATAAATAATATTTATATATGTACATGTATCATTGTATGTTATCTTCTAGTATTTGGCATGCTATGTACATATTAATGTAGTTTTACATTTATATGGGGGTTGGGCCCAATTGTAAAACGTGTCAAACTCAACGTAACGTAAGGAATGCCCAGGCAGCATGGGTTCAAACCCCGTCAGGATTCGAGAGTGTGTCTATAATATATTTTGTATTAACTAAAAGGTAATTTAAGATAAGTTATATACTTGTACATAATATAATTGCAAAATTTTTAACATATCTTTATAAAGTTACCTATTCGAACTAATTGTTCTGTGTGTTGAGATATTGTGCTTTTTTGTGATTGGCCAATATCTGCCTGCTTCAAGCAAGATTCTGACCCAGTTAAAAATATCTCGGAATCTAGCTTGCTGAATGTCAAAATATTTTGACTATAAAGTAGGCCTAGATGTTGTTTTTGAACTGAGAAAAGGCAGGGTTCGTACAGACTTAAAAAGTGCTTTAATTTGAGTCCCTTTCTTAAAAAGTGCTTAAAAATGTAAAAAAGAGAGCTTAAAAGTCCTTGAATTTGTTTGCTGTCTTGGAAAGAGCTTAAAAAGTGCTTAAATTTGCTGAAAATATGCTTGAAAATGATTGAATGACATAGTGTCGATAAAAGTCAACATGCAGTTAACAAAATCAAAAAAATGAAACAATTTAGAATCAAAATCAATGAAAATTGTTTGCCCAACGTAACAAGTGTACAAAATGCAGTTGTTTTGAATTATTTTTTATTTGATGCACCCTTTGTTATTCTTCTATAAAACCTTAAAATTTGGGCCAGAAAATGTGTATAATTCAAGAAAAAATGGTAAATAAACTATCCATCTTAGGTTGAATATTGTGTTGATATATATGCAACAAACTTGCTTAAAAAATGGGAATACGTGCTTAATTAGTGCTTAAAAAGTCCTTGAATTTTGGCATTGGATGTCTGTATGAACCCTGAAAGGTATATGAATGCTTTGGTCCAGGTTGAAAGATGGACAAGCCAGTTTAAGATTTTAGCATGGTAAAGATAATGAAAGTAATAATATTTAGTGTCCTTGTAGTTAAGGTGGACATTAAATTATGAATGTTTCTTTGTGTAAGATTATGAGAATTATGCTGATAAAGTTAGTTTATCTTGTGATAAAATTCTATCTTGAATGTTAGATAACATTAAACATGTACTGTTTCACACCCTGGATATCCAAATATGCTAATAGCGGGTCAAAAGAGATTATAAAAGCTGTCAGATATTAATGTAGGTTTTACATGTACATGTATGTCCTTTTCTTTCCATCTAGCAGCAAAGTCTTGGAAAACAAACAAACAAACAAACAACATTTCTGTTGAGATTGCATTATGTAACTTGCAACTCCTCCAGAACATTTTACTGAACCTGTAATCTAAAAGAATTGTTCATTCCCTCTTACCCTCTCTTACTTTCTTACCCTCATTACTCTTTTCCCCTCTTCCCCTTACCCTCCTCCCCTTTTACTCTCTTCCCCTTTTACTCTTTCCCCCCATTTTACCCTTCCCCATTTACCCTCTTCCCCTCTTCCTCTTTAACCGTCTTCCTCTTTTACCTTTCCCCTTCCCCTTTTAGCCTCTTCCTCTTTTACTGTCTTCCCCTCCTTTCTTACTTTTCTCTCTTACCTTTCTGTTCCTCCCATTGGTCACCTCACTGGTCGATCATAAAAAATGATTTTATTTTCCTATATCTTGCGTTAAAAAAGACCCAAAACAAACTGGGATTCATTACAAAGTTGTCATAAGAAATATGCAAAGAAAAATTTAAAATGTACTAATATGAATAGAATAGAATTATAAATGCAGGAAGTTGGTTGACCTCTGACATCTGAGGTCTGTGATTTACTATGATAAAAAAGATAACAAAACAAAATAAAATAATAAAGCTAATTGCTTGAAAATGTTAATACGGTAGTTACTTTAAAATGCGGACATTTAAAATTTTCATAAATTAACTTATTGAAGGATAGATAATGATCTGTACATATGGAAAAGATAACCATAGGCAAATCTTTTTAAAAGTCAAGCGAATATACAAGCATAGGTTTGTGCAAATAAATGTTTGCATATAAAGTGCTTTATTTTTTTAGTCAGCAATTTTAACGGGCCGTTTATGAATATATTTTATTATTGTATATGCTTGCATAACGTTCTCTCGTTTTGACCCAAATGTCCCACTGCTAAAACATGTGTCGGTGTTTTGCTTTAAATGGATACAGTGTTTTGTACAGATGCTATCTTCAAACAATTATTACAATGTATTTGGATGTATATAAAACTGGCTCGGGATTAAGTAAGAAAAGGTTATTTTTTGTGTGTGTGTTTGTGCGTGGATGAGAATATGTTGCGATGAACGGACAAGAGTATATTGTTACTCTAGACATGTTGCGTAGATTATAAGATTTGATAGATTTTGTTCTCGACTAATAGTGCATATATTAGGAAGAAAATTTATTACAGTTTCTTTGGACTTTTAAAAGTGGGTTTTTTTATGGTAATTATGTGCTTTATTATTTACAGTTTATGTAATTTTGTATTCTTTGTATAAGAATTACTATTTGATTTTTAATAGTTTTCAATTTATAATTTATCACCATGTAGCATTATTGTAATTAATTATTTGTTAAGTAAGTAAGTTCCACTTTTTGGCAACAAGCTAGTAGTTGTTTGCAAATGAAAAGTGTTGTATGTCTAACAGTAGAAATTGTTTAGGGAAATCTCTGTATGGTGAGTACTTTTGTCAATTGGGAAAAGCCCAAAATTCAACCTCTTTCTTGACCTTGAAAATAAGCACTTTAAATAACCAACGACTGTTCCACACATGTATGGTATAAAAGATAATCCTGGCCTGCTGGCAGCTGAATCTACCCATGCAACCAGTGCCAACTAACATCCTCTGGCACACCCTGTGTTCTGAACTGTTTGTTATTCATTCAGTACTCATTTTGAAATTTTCCTGAAAGAGTCTGAATGATTTTGTCCGGGTTTAAAGATGATCAAGCCAATTAAAAGATATTAAAGGGGGAACAGGTTGGTAAAATGTTCCAGTTGCTGCATGGTCAGGGTAAAGTAAACTGTGTTTTGCATCACTTTCATTTTGAAGTTGCTTCTTTTGTACAAAGCTCCCTAAAAAAGTACACCAAGGCAAAAAGTGGTGGACCTTGACTTGTATTATCTAACCCATGGTAAAAGCTGACCACCCATTTGGGGCAG